GTCGTGCATCCTGAGTATCAATCTTATGAAAAACTCCTTTTGTAGCACCTATTTCCCCACTCGCACAGCTAAATCTGTCTGAGAAACTTTTAAGTATTTGAATCAACTCTTCTCTTGCTTTCTTAGAAATATCTTTTACTAATCCATCAACCATACCTGTAACTTCTGTTAGATTTTCATATGCTAGACGATCAACTGATTCCTTTGCTTCCACAGCCGATGATAAATCTGGCAATCGCGTTCCCCGGTTTATCACCCCCGGCTGATCGTTGACATTCATGATCCTAACACACTGTCTTTCATATTTTATAGGTAGTAACGTTCTAGCTACATATACACCCGATTCTATTTGCCTGTTTTCCGAACACATAAATCCGGTCGATTCCAACTTGGACGGCTGGCGAACAATCATCTTTGCTGGCACGTCTAATTCAGACCGCGCAGGGATGCGCACTTCTGTGTGAGCTTCAATACGACAAAGCTTCCTGCATGAAAAATGTTTAATAACTAATTTCATCGTTCTATTTTTGTTACCCACGGCGATTTTTCCTTCGCCAAACTTCCACGAGATATGATTGTTCCTGAGCCAATCTAAACCTAAAACAATTTCTGAAACATGATCAGACACCAACACTAACGCTGATTTGGAATAATCATCAACTTTAATTTGCAACTTCATTTCTCCTTTGACTGGAATTTCTGTGTTGTTGACAGCTTTCAATCTCTTTTTCGTCGGTCTGATCTTTGTGACATCAACCATAGACGTTGGAACAATGGATACACTACTGCCACTATCAAGTAAACCTAATCTTCTTTTGCCATTAATTGTGATTGGCAGATACAAGACACGATCGTTACTTTCAATTGACTTGTTCACGTGATCCACTGTGCTGCTTGTCATTCTTTTTTGCGGGCACTCCCTCACAAAATGACCTGTCTTTCCACATTTGTAACAACCTTTGAAATTCACTTGACTATAAGTTTGGGATTTGCAGGTCTCATTCTTCTCTGGACATTTGACTGCAAGATGACCTGGCTTCTTACAATTAAAACAAATTTTCTCTCGCTCAACTCGGGATACAGTTGGCTGCACTCTTTTATTTCTGAGTTCTTCAAATGACTTTTGAAGAAACGCAATCTGTCGTACCATTGACTCCATGTTTTCTGCCCCTGCTTGAAAATCTTTAACCTGCGGGTCAAACCTGTGAGATGAATCTACCACCATCTTTGAAACTTCAAGACGCTGTGCGAATCTAAGAGCATCGTCAATGTTCTTTGGTTCTTTTTCCCTAACCTTTAATTCTAATTCAGCATTATCGAGGGCTGACAAGAAAAAGTCCCTAGCTAGATGTGTAGCTAATCTTGACTGCTCTCCTGGATAGGCTAATGACATGAGTCTTTTAGTAACCATTGACAACTCTCGTAACGACTCACCAGGTTTTCGACGAAGAATCTGTAATTCGTACCTGTATGACTCTTCATGACCTCTTGTTCCAAAACGATCTTCTAGCTTAGATACCAGCTTTTGGTAACCTAAACCTGTTAAATCCCAGAGAACCTGTGAAGCTTCACCTGTTAACGAACATGACAAATACGCTTCCATGTCTACGAGATTCCAATTATTGTACCTGGCACATATCTCANACTTTTTTAAGAAAGTTTTGAGACAGCCGGTGCCATGAAATCTGTCAGGTCGAAGCAATTCGCGACGACAAAAGTCGTTGTCACGC